GTTAGAGACGGCGGTTTCACGCGGTGCGTTCAACCAGGATGGCTGGATCTTCCTGCTTTGCGATCCCGGCCCCCACCTCGACACCTCCCAAGCATGCTGGCAGTAGTTACAGGGCGTTGAGCCCCACGCCAGGCACCTAGCCCACTACAGTCATCTTTTTTGTATAAGCATACGTGTTCTTCTGTGACCTTATGCTATATTTATGATTCTTATATTTACTATCTTATTTCAGAATAAACCTTACCCTTTTTATTGCTGAGAGGACTCGATGCCAACCACTCTTCCATTCTCAAGACGTTCACGGTTCCAGTTCCAGCTCCCCAAGACTTTGTACTGCCTTTTACCTACAAACACACACAAAAGTACCATGCGCACAGGATATTAACTCGCACAGGGGAAAACGCCTGCACGCCCCCCCCCCAGCCGCCAACCAGGTAAATGTGCCTCTGGTCTCTTCGTGAACAAGGTCGGCATCCAGGACTCTCCAGCCACCTCTCAGCCCTCGCACGCCCTGCACCGTTACCCCGCTCTCGCCATGTTTGCTGCCCACCACCCTCCAGGGGTCAGCCCTCCACGGCCTGCGGGGGTGCTGTGAGCTGTTAGCGGAGGTGGGAGGTTTAGGAATGGCCAAAGGGGACAGGGAGACAGGAATGGGCCTTGAGTGGGAAGAAAGAAGCATAGAAGGGAGAGAGAAGTAATGTGATCCCATTTAAATCTCGAATCCCCTGAGGGAATGTATTATGATTCCCACTTACGATTAGGAAAACTGAGGCTCAGGAAATGACACCCAATTGGGCTTAGTTCAGCAAGCTCGGAGCAAACATGCTAGGCTGAATTACATGTTGTGGCCAACAAGCCCTTTCTCTCTTTTTGCTTGAGCGGTAGGTTTTCGCTTTTGTTGCCCAGGTTCGAGTGCAATGGCCCTTCTCGGGTCACCGCACCTCTGCCTCCGGGGTCAAGGAGCTCTCTGGCCTCAGACCTCCTGAGTAGCCCGGGATTACAAGGTTGGGCCCGCCACCAGCCCGGCTAATTTTGTGTATTTTTAGCTTAGAGATGGGGTTGTTCCATGTTGGTCAGGCTGGTTCGAATCGACCTCAGATGATCTGCCCGCCTCGGCTCCACGTGGCTGGGCTTAGCAGGCCTTGACGGCACCCACCCGTCAGCCCTTTTCTCTTAAGCATGACGATATACAATTGCCTCTGAGGGTTAATGTGTATGGAGGTGGGTGGGTGCTTTCGAGAAGCTGATCAATTTCTGGTGTGAAGTATGGACTATATAAAATAAATTGAAACGTAGGTTGCCACAATAGATAACCAAACGTCTTGTTTATTAAGGATCGCCAACACCCCCCCCCCACCCCCTGATTCTATGAGGACTTCGTGTTAGCCTTTGTTCGCCTCCACGTCGCTTTGGCTAAATTTCCGTATACCATGAGAGAGTCTAGGATACATTTTTTTTTCGTGAAATTTAAATTTTTGTCCTGTTGTATCCACAAATTAGTTTTTTCATTTACATTAATTTATTTATTTCTTTTTTTTTGGATACAGAGTCTGACTCTGCGCACCAGGGTTGTTTGCATTGGCATGATGCTCGGGCTCACTGCAACCTCTGCTCCTGGGTTCAAAAGGTGATTCTCTTGCTTTCGGCCTGCTGAGTAAGCTGGGATTGCCACCCCGCTTGCCTAATTTTTGTATTTTTTAGTTCTGAGACCGGGTTTCTATACCTTGTGACGAGGCTCGGTCTTGAACTGACCTTTCTTCCCCTCCCTTCCCTCCCACTCCTCCCTCCTTCTCTTCCCTCCCCCCTCCCTTTCTTTCTTTATCATCTCTTCCTCCCTCCCCTTCCTCCCCCACCGACACACCTATTGCCTCTTCCTTCTTCCTTTTTCCTTCTTTTTTTCTCCTCTGCCTGCGGCCCCCCTCGGTCTCCTGCCGTCCCTTCCTGACCCTTCCTTCCGGCCCTCTCGCTCCTCCCTGCTCTCGTCCGTTCCCGTGGTCTCCCCTCGTGGTTTGCGCCTCCGCGTCTTCTGTAGTCCCCTTTCCTTTACTTCTTTTCGCCTTCTTTCCCTCACTCGCCCGTCGCTGCGCGCTTCCTGTCCTTTGTTTACTTTCTTCTTTTCTCTCTCTCTCTGGCCTCCCCTTCTTCCGTTCTGTGCTCTTCTTTTCGTTTTTCCTTTTCTCTTTTCTTTTCTTTTTCCCTTTCGTCCTCCTCCCCTCCTTCTCTTCC